TCCTCGATGAATCAAAGCCCTCCCCATTCTTTTCACCGCGGGATGTACTTATCGCGCGTTTTATACGGGCTGCGCGTTGAAAAACCATTCTTGGACCACGTCCCAGACTTCCTTCTTCGATAACTCTTTTCAATGTGCTCTTAATTGTTCTCGGATCGATCGCGAAGCCGCTGAAAACCAAATGGCACAACTCGAATGTTAACCTCTGACCATATGGCAGCTTTTGAAACATCCTGTATATTGATTCGTCAAAGGCAAGAGTGTATAGAAACTTCAGGAACACCCTGTATATTAAGCTCAACGGAAGAAAAGGGTTCCCGAATTTAGGGATTACGCTATCCAAGAAGCATTGCAGGACTTCAGCAAAGGTCCAGAGAAAAGAGCGGAACAAGCAGTGTGGATCAAACGAATCAAGGGGTTGGCCGGGCGGCAGCAGTGTTCCGTCTCGTAAAAAGTTGGACCACGTTGGCCAAAGATAGCGGGCTAGCCTTATTGTGCAGCCAAGCGACGAGGTTGCCGGAGATTGTGCGCAGCTTCTACCGGGCTCGCTTTTGTTGCTGGGAACTGCTGGAACAGAGCCCGGGCCGAATTCAGCAACGAGCTTTATCGCGCTGCAGAATGTAATTCGAGGCCGGTGCCTCGAATTTAGCGAATTCATTGAAGTCTCCTTTGGCCGCCGCTCGATATCCTCCAGTGTTGAGAGGATATCGAATATCCGGATGGAGAATGGCGTTGGTCCTCCGGACAGTTTCAATATCGAAGGACAAATGTATAAGGAAGGAAGGTTTCAAGTGGCGATAGCTTCGGACCAGTCGGTCAGGGTCCGGGTATTAAGACTTCTATGTGTTCTCAGCTTCACTTTCACGCATCATTCAACAATATGGAATCCATTTTAAGGATTAACCATTTCAGAAACTCCATGGAACTCTCTAGGCACGAGGGGGCCGCAGTGAAAGGGGACACAATTTTCACGGATCCAAGTTCGGCTGCAGTCGGGTTTCATCGAGGCAACCCGGCATGTAATTAGACACCGAGGTCCTAATTCTACTAGTCCAAGGGAGAGAGTATTGGTTTTCACCTCTCCGCCCGCGTGTAACGAGCCGGACCCTCTAATTGAACTCCGCAGGAATGTTCCTGCGAAGCCTCTCTCTGGCCAGCAGGATTACAATACGCGGATAACTGTGGACGTGGCTAAGTGGCGTGGGGCTGCATATCTTTGGTCAAGTTCGATACCGAATATTAACCGAGCTAATGAGTAGCTCGCGTCCTTTGTTCGCTCCTTTGATGCTACCGATTGTCTCGTTTCGAGTACTCTATGGGGGAAGACTGATTATTTAAAGATTTTTGGATGGTAGAATCCTGTCGGAGACACTGAAGGTAAATGCAATGGGGGTATCGGACCAAGACAAACGATGGGACACCTTGCATCGGGCTAAGGCACAGTGTACCCTGGGCAAACAATTGGGGACCGGGATTTCATGACAGGATCTGGAGGCGAGAAAGGAGAGAAGACTATCTAGGCAGACTAATAATCCTCGGACTCTTACCCAGTGTAAATCCGCCTTAGGCTGTGCCTTAGTGTAGTTACCAATAGCCTAAGGCAGTACCCTACCATAGTTATCAACATCCAAAGGCAGTACTTTTCTTGGTGGGCCCTAAAGAAAATGCGACCTATTCAACTTTCATTCCATTTCCTTTTGCGCAGTTTAGCTACCATAGAAACTGAAAACCTTCACCTGCTTCCAGGTATGAGACAAGGGCATACTGAAGGCCCCTATGATGCAAATATTTTATACAGTAGGTACATTTTTTACCATATTTATCAAACAGTGAATAGAGCGATGCTGATTAATCATTCTGCTGTCAGCGTTTCGAAGTCCCTCGACTCACAGCGTAAACCCTCTTTCAGGTCCGCGTAGCATCAACTGTGCTCCGAGAGCCCTTATGTATTTTATATACGTTCGCATAAAGGGCACCGTGCCTCGAGTGCACGAGAACAGAGAAGCTATCTCAAAGGACCTCTCCTTTCTTTTTATTCACCCGCTTGGTACTTCCTCCTCGAGGAATCGAGATAGTCCGAGAAGAAAAGGGAAAGTCGCGGTGGGGGTTGGGCGGAGAGGAGTGGATGGTTGTTCGAGCTGACAGAAATAAGAGGCGCACTCTCGCTCTGATTTGCAAAGGCATTTCAGGGATTACTTTCTTACAACTTCCCTTATTCCTGCAGCTCAGAATAACATCTGATCATTTTTCTGATCGAGCGAAATCATATTCCGATAAAAGCACTTCGCTGATTTAAAATTCGAACCATCAAGTTCAATTGAAACTACCATCCAGTCCTTAGGAACAATCGGCAGATTGAGGCAATCCGAAAAAAAAAAAAAAAAAATAGAAGAGTTACGATTATGTTACCTAGCTGAAAGAGAGGTGGCCTAATGAAAACGCAATCGTCGAAGCGGAACGATTTCATCGAGCGTGAAGAATAAGTAAACCCATGATCAGGTCTCTCCCTCTCTCTGGTTGCCTGTGCACTGAAAGCTCTTTTCTTTTTCCAAGGCAGCAGAAAAGGCAGCCAACCGTTTCTCTGTAATCCCCCAGAGGGCTGAAGGACTTCGTTATCGGATTTGCTCGCGATGTAATCGACCAGCCCTGCGAAAATATGATCCAGCCTCGATCGAAGGATGCTCGACAAGACGCCTCCGTGTCCCCGCATAATTGCCATTATCCTCTGAATAATGGCCACCAAAATATCCAGGATTTCCGCCCTTTATTTTCCCCTTCCTCCACCCTCCTGAATCCCGATTGATCCTTCGACAAGCAGCGGTCTGAGATTTCGTTACATTTCATTTGTTTGGACAAGGAGAGGAATGGTGAAACTCTGCTAAACGTTAGAATAATAATCGAGGATGAAGGTTAGAAAATATGGGGTCATTTGGGAGTTACTTAGAGAGTGTGAAGAGACACGAGTGAAAGTTTGATAGTTAAGTTCACTGGGCGTAGAGTCAGACGGCTTAGAAGTTATGCTAAATTAGGTTAACTGGATTAAGGTTCTAAGTTGAAATAGTGCTGGCTTCTAGGTCTGGCTTTGAACTGAATTAATTTTAATAGATTAACACTGCAATTTCTACTTGGATCTGGGAAGGTTTATATTCCAGGTCAGGTAAGTGTTAAAGTTAAATTTGGGTCACCAGGTCTGAGGTCTACGTCAAAGAATATTAGTCCCTTTTAAAGGAAAGAAATCCATATTAGCAAAGGACATGGGATAACCTGGTGAAAATCTCAGATTAAGTTTCTCCTTGGATGAAAAATGAAGACTACAGTTTCGACGCTTTTAAAAGTACTATCGACCACTCTCCAGAGAAGACCAGATGCCTTTTAACCGAGGGACAGAGAAAGCTAGGGCAAAATAATCAGATACAAATTTGGGTTCGTGGTGGGAAGGACAAGTTCGATTCACCTGGAAACTTGATACACGCTACAGTGAGATATTTATATTTCAAGGGAAGGGGCAGCGAGGGGTCACGCCCACCACTTCAATTTCATCGCCATAAGGAACGCGAACCCCTATTGGAAATTCCGAAGGCACGACACCGGAGTCGTGTTAGGGACTCGGGGGAAACAAACGTATTTCCGACGAGAACCGAGCCAAGGCCGAGCAAAGTGGTCGGGGATAGGATTAGAAATTTGATTGGGGATCGAATCGGCCGTCGAGAAATGCTCGTTTGACTTCAGGAACCGTGTACCTAGGTGTGCCTGCCTTTCTTTCGTAGCAGAACTACACTAAAATTATTGATTCTTTCGAGCTAGCGCACTTCTATAGGTCGTAGGTCATGGTCTAACCGAGACAGCATCGTTGTTCGACCTTTTCCTTAAGGGTGACTGGTCTCCCAATGCTAAGGCACCGGGTATCAAAGGTGTTCATGGTTAGGTCAGGTTAGGTTTAGGTTGCCGGAGAACCGGGGTACCCAGATTTTTGCATAAATTTTTATTTTTATCAATGGCAAATCTTCCAAATAACGAGGACCTTCGATTTTACGATATTTTTACAAAAAACGTAATAAACCATTCAAGGAAACATAAAAATCGGTTCCTGGGTACCTGCATAAGGGTTCCATCAGTACCCCCAGGGCGATTGTTACCCCTATTGATTTTTCTAGCCTAAACAAGTATACCCAAGGAAACGTGAAAGAAATCCTCCCTTTTGAATCATCCATTGGAACCCTCGAACCGATACATGCCTGAAGCTTCGCCCCTCACCGACGACCCTGAATATTTCGACCCAGCTACGTCACAAAGTTAAACACCGTTCCTTCCGGACGAAAGATTAAAAAGCGGCTGTGGTTGGAAAATCCAAAAGTAATTGGACGGGGACCAAATAAGCCGCGACAGCGAGCCAGAAGGAGGCTGCGACGTCGGGGCGCGAAGGGGGTATGGTTTTCGAGGAGGCCTCGAAGAAGACGGCCACGAAGGACGGATATGAATTTCCAGAAAGGTTTGCTTAAGCAAATTGCGAGAAGGTAGTCTGACGGGAGTTAGGGCGAGAGACAAAGGGGGGGTAGCGGTCCTAAATTGCGAAACCGTGCGCCTTCATTTCACAGACACCCAGACTCTCGCGTCCCTCCTTGGACGCCACCCTTGACGCCCCGCGACGCTCGTCGACGAAGCGAGAAAAACGAATCTCAAACCGCCCCTTGTGAAATATCCTCGTCCACTTCAGCGTGTTTTCAACTGTACAGGATGATTAAAGAAAAAAGAAGCTCCGGTTATTTATTTTTGAAACAACTTATAGGCAGCTGTTCAAGCTTCACGCGTTTCATATTAACAAATTTCCAGGCAAACCACTTGTAAACTAATTAAACTTGCCAGCACCGTTGGTCCGGCGCAAATTACATTTCGAAACTTGTGAAAACTTGCTCCTTTTTCCACCCCGAGCGAAACCGCGACTCGTCTTGTAAAACGCAACAGAAGACGAATTTCCAGTTACCCTTTTACACGGCTCTTCATTTTTTTTTTTTTTTTTTTTTTTTTCCTCCCATTTATTCTTCCCAATGGCGCACGGGCTGTCGTGTTCCTTCTCTTTGCTCGTTTCCCTTGGTTGTATATCTCAACATTGTTCCTCGAACGGAAAAATGATGGTTTGCGCACACGAGTGCACACGAGACAACAACCGCAGAGAATTAACGTTCCTTTCGAGCAGCTCCGGGCTACGGGAATCTCGGCCAGCAGAACGTATTGTGAAAATTTCCAGATAGGATGGCAAGCTCGCGAAATCTCGAATTCTGCCAGGCACAATGCAGCGATGAACAATCATACCCGGTGACCGATTCTTTTTCCCTTCTTGAAACGCGAGGGAAATTATGTTGATTACGCGTGCCTGTTGTGCCGGGTAGAATTGACCCGACAAGAACATGGAATCTGTCACAAAGCACACTCGGAATACGAAATGCTGTCGCTGGGATGATCGACGATCGGGAGAGCCTTTGAGCCACTCAAAGTAGCAATATTATCCGCTTTGGTCCAACGATTCCTCGGTTAATTTCGAAGAGAAAATTGATTACTTTCCAGCTTTTAAAATAAAAATAAAATCAGTGAATCCATGTTGCATTTCCTGTTCCTTAAGGTCACTGACTAAGATAAGTTTCGTCACCGAATTGCCCTCCACAATTGCCGGTAATTGTATCCTAACTAAGATTTCCGGTTTGGGCAGGGAATTAATTGGAATTATCTGGTTAACAGTTTAATTCGGCGGAACGTTTACGCTTGAGGGAATCTAAGATTCCGTGGTTAAGCTGAAGGAACCGCTTCAAATAGCTGGGGGCCATTTGAGAAATTTAGAATTCAACCCTAAAATAGCAGAGCCTGGGTCAATCGTGACCCACATTTAAAAAATATATATTAGGATATTAACTAGAAGTTAAGTGTATATTTGTTAAACAAAAGGAAATAATATGAAACACGAGATTAAATTATAATTGTGCTTCTCTCCAGGGTCCGCCGCTGTGGGGCTCTCTCCATGGTCCGCCGTCCGGACGGAACCGATGAGACCGGAGATTACATCAACGATGTTTCATGTTTCACGGTTAATAAACGTAATTTGGAAATATATCGAGCGCGTTTTAACTCTTTAATAATTCCTGAAATACTTATGCGTTCATCAGGAAAAATTGAAATATTTTCTTGATGTATATAAATCCCCCATAGTCCGATTCCCTGATGACTCCTATAATATTCATGCCCATTTAACGTGGAATATTTAAACCTGTTTTCCAAGTACAAATCGACTTTGACTGAAAATTGAAACGATTTAAACAATATACATGCCATTCGAGAGATACAGAGTCCATTGATCATCGAATGATTTTCAGAATATAAAATTTACGCTATCTCGTAAAACTAGATTCACTCTAGGTCCACTAACTTTCGGGACATTTTCACTTTCCCAAATAAATTTCCAACGATATTAATTTATTGCGCGAGCTCGCGGAACAACCTATTCTCCTTTGAATCCGAGCTACAGGGAAGTTGGTCCTCGAATTCGAGGAGACTTCGAAACTTTTGGCTTTGCAGTTTAGAAGCTTGGGTTCAGCTTATGGGAAGAGGAGGAGGACAAACTGCTAAATTATTTTCGATTCAATGGCGCGGCAGGGGGGGAAAAAAATTCCTTATTACGCGAGAGTCGTCCATTAAATCAGCCAAGTCCGCAGACTCCCCGGAGAACGAAGAAAGTAAAGTTCACTCGACTAATGACGCTGGTACTTTTTAAAACGACCAGACTTATGCTTGTCTCTCAGTCCATTCAGAATCGTTCGCAGTTTGAACAAAGCCGTATCTAAAGTGATAGCTTAAGTCTGTTCAAAGGTATCAGCTGAGGGCGAGCTGTGCTGCCACTGTCGCCGTCCCCAATCCCTTAGGCTGAATTTACACTGGGCAAATAGTCAGGATAGTAGGTCTAAAGTAAAAATTTTTCAGACTTACTTGGAAATCGAACTTCTCGAACTCCATCTGCGTGTCGATGTCCACGTTCCTAGGCACGATGATGGGGCAGGTGTCCAGGGACACCTTAGCGTCCGGGGACTCTATGTAGTCAGGTGTAATGGAGGTAAGACCCCGGTCGTACCTCAGCTCTTCGTTCAGGATCGCAGCTGAAGGGCCCGTGGACGGACCCTGTGCCTGACTGACATAGTACAGGCAGAGTAATAGACTAAGGAGGACCGCGCAGACGACCAACACGCGGCTGGAGCCGCGTCTTAAGATCTTGTACATGGTCGGATGATGCGTTTCGTATCTCAACGTGTTCAATTCGGTCTCGATTCACCTGGAGCTCGGAACGATGCTAAGGTTGCTCGAGCTCGCCTCGATGATCACGGCCGACGATCGCTCCTCGGCTTTGGCTCCGTCGTCCGTCGACTTCATGGGACAATCTGGCGTGGATACCACCTGGACAAACAAAGATTTTCATTAGGACTCAATGTTAGGCCGAGCTTACATTAGATCAGTATCCGGGCCTGGATCTTATAACTGAAGGCGAGGGAAAGAAAAAATCATGCCTTTACCTCGCTGTTCTATTTCAAACTGCGGGAACAAAGTGGAGGCAATCGTTCGGATCGAAAGGGGTATCGCGAGACCCGGTCACGTATCCGGATCGTCGTGACGCGTATCGATCCCAACGAACTGGCCAATTTCGCGTCGAAACAGTCAGTCATAATTTTCGCGGACGTTTAATCAACCCGCGTTGCTGTATGCCCTCGTAATTCATCCCCGAAGCTATTTACTTTTACCTCGGATCCGTGGACTCTGGGCTGCCTTTCGCTCCGTCCTTCTCTCGTGCTAGGACTCGTTCAATTTTGGTCGAGGCATTCGATATTCGAAGCAATAATATACAGGGATGCGAGAATGTTCAATAAATCGTTGGCTCGTTGCAGCGACACGAGGTGAAACTGCGAAATTTCAGCCTCGTACGCGACCATCAACGAGCATTTTCAGACTCGAGTGCCAGGATCGCAGCTCTTCTACTTGATCCATGGATATTTGTTGTTTTGTTTCAACTATGTCTATTTGCTTCATGATTTTTTTTCTAGATAAATGAGGGTGTCTAGGATGTTTGACTGAAATGGGACACTGCTGTTCGTCATTGTGGTTTGCCCTGTTCTTTGTTTGGGGCTGGGTGAAGTTGGGCTCTCATTTCATCTGAGGCATACTAGAAGGCATGAGCAGGGGGATGTCTCAAACTATGATTTCTAGTGCCACCCCGGCAAGTATCCAAGTAGTCTAGTACCCAAGCACCTAAATACTCAAGTATTCAGTACCTAAGTATCCAAGAACTCAGAACTCAAATACTCAAGTATTCAGTATCCAAGTACCCAAACAGTGAGCATTCAATCACTCAAATATTCGGTACTCAAATACCCAAGTACCCAAATAGTAAACTAGAGTATAACTATGGGCTTTCCCTTATGGTTAATCGTAACAGAAATACAGCATGCCCTACTGCACAGTGAATCCCGAGTCCTCATAGTAGCCAGTTTGATCAATTTTTACATTCTCAGTCGAAACGGATCAAAGAAACACTGTTATTAAAGGGTTTTCCAAGCCATTGGAACGTTTGTCTCTGTGTTCCGTCATATTAACACGGGCCCACAAACGGATACCTGTTTTCGTCCCCAATTTCCAGTCTATCTTTTAACAAAGTGGCTACGAAAAAGACCGAATTCGTGTAATGATGATTCTAATTAGTTAAAATTTTACGCATTGGTGCCTCGAACGAAGTGAGAGAAGGATGGAGTTGAAATTCTCCGTGAAAAGAGCTTTAGCAAGACAGGAAGGTGGAGAAGATCGAAGAAACGGCAATTTGCCGCAATCTAATTCCGGCGAGAACAATAAATACGACCCGGTGAACCAGAGACACGGTTTCCCAGAAACCTTCGTCTCGGTGTAAGGTCGGTTCGCACGCGATGATAATCGATCGTACCCGTCGACGTGACCCCGCGTGGGAAGTCGACCGAGCGGACGCGGACGGCTCCTAAGGTTTCTTTGCTACCCAAAATAATAATACTGAAAACAGTGACGCTAGAAGCAGCAACGCTACCGTACAAATTCGATACATCGTAGCTCGGAGGTAAAGAAAATCTTGCAAGAAAATCTAAAAACGAAAATCATGAAAGTCGCTTACCTTGTCTCGAAGAATCCTCCGGTTGAGCGTCCCTCGACCTCTTCAGCGATCGATCAGCAGTGGCGTTGACCTTCGATTACGATTTTCTTCCTTGGTCGAAGGATCAGACGAGGAGGGATAGAGAGAGAAAAAGAAGAGAAAAATAGGGGCTTTGGCGATTCAAGCTGTGCCCGTGTAGACCTTTTGTCCGACGAGCAGACGCGTCGAGGGTGCTTTATCGCGATTCGTTGGATGAGGCTGCTGCAAAACGGGTGAGCACGGGGACATTGCCTCTTGCAGCGTGGCAAAACGACCACCGTGAAGCCATCCAGGAAAACGTCGAGCACCGGCGTGCACTTCCTTCGCGCCTTAATTCGATTCGCCACTCTTCTTTTTAGTTTTTTAATATTTTTTACAGACTTCACGTGTAGCGTGTCTAAAAGATGACTCTTAGAGAAGGCTGCTGCTCTCGTGGTTAGCCAAATCTGAAAAAATAAAAGAAGGTTAGGTTAGTATTGTGAACTTAGGTTAGGGTAGTATTGTGGGCTCAGGTTAGGTTAGTATTGTAAACTTAGGTTAGGGTAGTATTGTGGGCTTAGGTTGGGTTAGTATTGTGAACTTAGGTTAGGTTAGTATTATGAACTTAGGTTAGGTTAGGCTAACTTATAACTTTCTAAGATGGCGCTGCAGGTTTCAAGCGCAGCAAATTGAACGTTTATTATTATTATTTTTTTCTTAAATTAAAGCTAGTCGGACCAAAAACCGCGCGACTGAATCAAAAGACAAGCGCGCATGCGCGGCGCGCGTCACGTGACCACCATACTTTCTCCGGACGTCTTAATTCCTCGATGCTAGCATCAAACGATGGTAATAAATTACGCAACACGAAAAGTTACTTTGCGTTTTCAAGCGGCCGGGAAAGTTGGCGAACAAAGCGGTATAAAAGCAGCGGAAACACGAGGCGCGGTTTGAAGACTGTGGAAACGATAAAAAGTGAGGAAATTTTTTGCCTCGAACAAGGGAACAACGGAACACGCGGGGCAAAGTAGCGCGCGAAACAACGGAACCGTGGAAAACGGAGCGTCGAGCAAGAGTTTTTGAAACAGTCGGACGCCGTTAAAGCCGGCTTTCAAGTAGGCGTGGAACGCTTCTAAAGGAGGCTGGGCCGCCACTAGATTCGAGTGAAATTCTTCTTTTTCCCTTGTTTCTTTGCCCCTTTTTCTTGGCTCGTTCCCCTTGTTCGCGATCCTCTTTCAAAATTTCCACCTTCCTCTCTGTTACACTTCCAGTACATTGAAATCGCGCGGGCAATTAGTCCGGAATTCAAAAACTTCTGAATTTCCGAGAGAACGAAGCGAAATTCTTTAGGTGGGAAATTCGGAAGGGCACAAAAGGCCGAGCTATCTGGCAATTATCGTATGGTAATAAACGTCGAACAAATCGGCTTATCGAGACCGAAGAAAATCACGTGCAAACCGAACGAACGTAACGGCCGGCAATCAGCTCGTACGCTGGCCGATTTATCTGTGGAAAATATCCGTATTGCCATTCGATTTATCGCGTGCCGCGGTTTTATCGAACAATACCAATTACTCGTATGTTAATAACGGCTGGAATATCGATTCCCGCGTCCTCAGTCCGCTCCGTGACGATTCCATAAACAACGACCACACGCATTTGAATTTTAAAATCCCAACCCTCTGTCTGTGTGCCGAGGAAGAGGATTGCGGGGGTCAGCTTGATTCATCGCTTTGATATATTTCAATTAATATACTGAACGGACACTTTTTACGTGTTTGTCCAAGACACCGTTGCGCAAAAAGGCAAAAAAACTGGTGTCGCGAAGAAAAAAAAAAAGATTTTTATCAATTTAAAAAATTAATCTTAGTTAGTAAAAATTAGTATTAATTAGTATCAATATTAGTAAATGCATTAAAAATATCAACAACTCCGATCATCCAAGTCCAGAAAAATGTCCCCAAAGAATCTTATCAATTCTGAAGCCCGAGTCTAACGAACTGGACTTTAAGAGTAAGCAAACATCCTGCCTCGATATCAGAACCAGGTCCCAAAGGAAGCTTACCAGTCTCGAAGCCGCGGCTCAAACAAAGCAGCCTCATTAAACCGACGTGCACTCGTCGTGCTGCGAGTGAACGGTCCGTGTCCTGGGTAATACAGCACCGGAAGCGGCTAGTCAGAAGCAGCGCGAGGCCAACGACAGCGGAAGAGGACAGTTTGCCTCGCACGCGTCTCGAGGAACGAAAGGAAAACACCGAAAGGACGAGGAGGACGTCCGGCTAGGGAAGCGAACGCGAGCAAGAACCACGCCGTACTGAGCCGACTGTTGGGCATAGCATCCGCTTTTCACGACGGCAACCGGATCGCGCATGTGCCGATATAATCCACGCTCCGTCCATCCAACCCACCTTCAACCCCTTCCATTCTATCTTATGCACGCGACCCACACGTGGAAACGTTGCGTTTCACGGGGTGAACGGCTAGTGGTGGTACCAATGGCCCGAGGGTGTTTTGACTCGCACGAGGTAGGAATGGGTGTCCAGTCGGTTCGGCTGTCTTTGGGAATCTATAACGCGTAATGGACGAGGGGATGAATGGCGATGATGGGTTTCGAAAGGGTGGCCCGGGTTGATCTTCGGCTGTTAGAACCGATAGTGGACCGAGGGTGGATGGCGATTGTCTATTGGGTGCGAAATGAGATGTCTGCTTAGTTGGTTGGGGATGAAGAAAGATGAAAAGTGGAGGATCGTTGCGTCGAAACTGTTTGTTAAGTATGAAATAGTATGTCTACTGTATGGGGTGAGGGCAGAGAGTAGGTATAACAAGAAACTACTTGTAGAGAGAGACAAAGTGATACAACTCATTTAAATGTCCATTCTAAGAATTGCCCTTTGCAATGTTTATTAAAGTTATTTTATAGGGAATTATATTCCGCTTGTTGATACAACTCTTTGATGAGGGTAAAGTAGGCTGCTAATGAATTTTGAAGAGTTAAGCCTATCAGGTAGTCTGAATGAAGTATCTACATATCATTTTTTAAACAAACAAATCAGTCGCGTGTGGCAATATCTAATCTCGAAGGAAAATAATAGGTAGAAGAAGATGCAAGGTGGCCCCGGTTGGAGAGGAAATTGCATCGCCGCGTAATTGGATGCCGGATGTTTATGCTAGGAATCTGCAGCTTCACGACGTTATTACTTAATTCCCGTCGATATTGCTTTCAGCGTGCCACGATGGAACTGTCACCGACTATTATGGTATACCCTCGGTAAACTCGCCACTATTTTATAGAATAAGAGACACGTGACTCCTCGGATTAATCTGTGAACGCCATCGTGAGATAATATTCGCTTTTACCTATAGGAGCCTAAGCTGTGGCCGGGATTGATTAAATATAAATGAGCGTTGGGTTAAACCGCGGAAATAAGCTGGAAGCAAAGTTTCGATGACAAGTACCCGAAACCTTGATGCATATCCAACTATAACCTCGTTCAATTATTAAACCATAACATCGACTGATCGCTATGGTTTATTCAAACCCGGGATCAGAATAAACCTTTCGCAAGGTCAGCCCATCGTTTTCAATCGGATACGAGGCTATTTTAATCCCGCCAAGGTATAAGAAAAATGTTTCTCCGTGTTAAATTGAATTACGTTCGTGAAAACAGAGGTTCGTTTCAACGATGGAATACCATTAGAACGAGTCTAGTTAAAAGAGCACAGAGGTGGATGGATTTTAGCGTTTCGACAAAGAGGAAAAGTGAGTCAGAGGACAGGAAGGAGGGATTTTTCGCGTTTGGATACCGGATATTAGCCTCGTCGAGAAGGACCCTGTTGAAAGCCAGAATCCGGCCTGGATGTAGATGTAGGCGTCAGGGAAAAATGTTCCATCGCAAACACTGGTCCAACTTCAAACGGATCGGCTACCTCTGCCATGGTGGCGCGACTGAAAGGCAAATCAGTCGCGACCCCTTCGATGCTCGGCCTATATAACGGGCGGCGTTGAAATAACTGCCAACATTCTGCCATACCAGCCAGGAGTGGTTAATCCTAGAATTGCTGAGTATGGGTGTATATAGCATCTACTAATCATGAGCAACAATATTGCCAATAGGGTCAACCCTCTCAGACTTGAGAAAATAGGACTTTTACCTAACCTAACCTAACTTTTTCTATAACTTTCACTTGTTAATATATTGCAAATTGCTTTTTAATTATTATATTTTAATACGGAATGTTATTCAATAGGTCATCGAAGTTTGGGTCAATGGACTCCCCTCATTCGCGGGATTAACCAAGGCCTACCAAAAAATCCGAATAAATGATATGGACGAGTGTTTTAATCTGAAAAATTCTAGCCCTCTTCAAATGAGTGTTGGACGGACACCCGGTATACATCTACCGAGACCCGTCGACAGACGTCTCAAAGAGACCGTCACCAACAGCCCTCCGCTACGTCTAATAAATTCATTCTGAATTTCGTGCATCGGCCTATTGCCTCATCCTCCTCCGTCTCCTCCATTCGTCCCAGAGCCACAGTGCTTTTAGAAGCGGAGACTCGTGTCTCCGTCCCTCTCGACGAATCAAATTAGCCAGCCGATTCTAATTACGAGTTTACGAGGACTTTACCCTGCACGGCTGAATATCAAATCCGCCACTTTTCCTATGGAAAGATAGCAGACGCCATGGCTGGACCGTTATGAGGCTGCCTTTTTTATTAGATTCCTCGTTTCTTTTGCAAATGAAGGGATCTACCAGTGTATCCTCTTCTTATCGGGTCTATAGGTCCTTGGACCCTACTCTTAATTCCTAATCAGACACTTGAATTGGATAAAAAGGTCTGATTGGATAAAAGGGTTTGCCAAGTCTTTAGGGCCAATTGTTGAGTTAGGCGACCCTCTAATTTGATAGCTGCCTTTTTTAATCTGCCATTGGGGTTACTTGCCTTCTAGAAGATCGCTGATTAACTTAGATGAATGTTAATTACTCAAAATGTATCCAGGAGTATGTTCCTCCACTGATGAGTCTAGCTAGGGCCTGAGGTCCATATGCTCCTTAGTTTCAATTAAAAATTTCATAACTCCCTGCATAATATACCCAAAATTTCCAAATCGTCGATTTCAACGGTATCGATGCAAAGCGTAACGACGCAGCCTCATCTATTGTTCAGCATCCCTTCGGTCTGCATCTATGGAACTTCGGTATAAAGTTAACTTCGCGAACAGACCGAACACGCAATGCTCCACGTAGGGCACTAATGGCTGGTCGAAGACACCAAGCCAGCCAGAAACGTTCGGATAATCCCCGATAGCGTGCCGGAGAAGGAGCCATCAAACTTACTCGACGGAGTTTGCCGAATGCCGGCCGGAGGACCGTGAACCAAACACTTCGTAGTTTGGGAACAGACATCCTGGCAAAGCGGTGCTTTACGAGCTACGTGGCTGCGGGATTTTGCAATGCGGGAATAGAGGACACCGGAGGATCCACTTCGAGGCTTCCCGTATAATTCGCTCGTGAATTGGGAACAAGGTTTGGAGGAACGATGTCTATCTATCTCCGATGATAAGATGGAAGGTGAGCTTAAAAGAGGATCAACTTTGGGAGGTAATATTTTCTTAGGTTCTTGACACCCGGTAGATGGAATAAGAGACGCGATAACGGTAGCATGCGCCTCGTAAGTATGCAGGAAGTCCTAGTTATCTTCGTTACACAGTGATTGCGGCCAGTCCCTTCCCCCTTAAACGATCTTCGCGTTTCTCTGTCTGCCCTTCGTTTGAACACGAGGAAACTGACCGGGGTGGGATTTTTAAAGGAATCACTCGTCCGATAACCAATTACCTTCTTTTATTCGAAGCTGACCCAAAGACTCTGATAGATCGTCGGAGGCGTGAAGAAGAGCGAAAGTGGAACGAACGAGCGACCAGAAGGTCGGGAATGGATCGAAGCCTCGATAAAACGAGAATCCAAGACAGACAAGGGGACAACGACACGACGAAATCTGTCGGTGATAAAAATTCGATACCGTGATACGACCTTCCAGAATGCGCCACGTTTTTATCAGCCGCTGCATTGCGACGAAATAAAAAAAAAAAAAAAAGAGGTGCGCGATGAAAAAGAGAATACGATATCAGAGTTAGAAAGAGAGAAAGATTGGCCGGGGAATAATGCACCGGCCAAACAGGAATATATATTTTTTGGCGAGATTACTGCAGTTTTTCAGCACCGCCAGCCTGCACCGTTCTTGCCCCTCGACAAATGGGCTCCCTGGCCGGCCATTGCAGTTAAAACTGTGCGTTTTGTCTCGTTTACGAACGACAGACCATAGGGCAGGTAAATCGTACAGAAACGCAGTCGTAGAAATTATTTTTCCAAAAGATTGATAGGACCTACACTGTTAGGTACACAGGGGGTCCTGGATTAAGGTCCATGGGGGAGCATATGGGTAGAGTGATTCTTTGGAACGAATCAGAATTCTATTTATAATTTAAGTACATCTATTCTGAGAAAGACAACAAACTGGCAGAGTAAATTTACCTCACACGCAAGGATGATCCCAGTCTGAGTGGTAGTGTTAACCCTTTGAGGGACAGTGGTACGTATTTACACCACCTTTTTTTCTTTAATTCAGAATTAATTTACAGATTTTTTCAATGTTAGTACTTTTTAGACTCTTGGGGTTCCAAGTTATATCATTTTAATTTGGAAGGCTGTATAAATCTGTTTACTTATAATTACTTGTAAACAATTAAATCCCAAAAAATTCGGTTCAATGAACGACAAGTCCTAAAGCTCTGAAAATTTTAGTGCATATATTCTACACATAGTACTATAACATATATTTTTTTCAGAATTTTTGGCCCGTTAGTTTTCTCGAAAAAAATGTTTGAATTTTGCAATTCTGACGTCAGAATCGTAATCAGCGACCCCAAAAACCTTTAGGCAACCTTTGATTTCAATAATTTGCTCGGATGAAAAATGTGCCCCTCAAAGGGTTAAACTGACCAGCTCCTCGGACACCACCAGGAAGTCTCCAACTCCGTAACGACAAGATAATGGTTAAGAATTACCGTGCCCGTACCGGTTACTTTCCACGCGACATCACTTCCGGCAGCGCTGTCGTCAGGGCAGGGTCAAGCGTGGAGAAGGTCCGGCAACAACAGCAAGGGGTCTGCGAAGCGTGTCCCCGAGGATAAACGCGAGCACTCGGCGCGCGTACGAAGGAAAACTGCTAGCTCCCGGGTCGAAAGGCCATCGGCCAGACAACCTACCTACGAATCTGGCCAACCACCAACACGCAACGGGCAGAGCAGACAGACTGCGTTCAGTACGCGCGTAATGCCGCGTCTTCTCCCGCTCTAGCTGGCACCAGCTCCACACGCCGTGATGACGCACGTTGTGACTCGACCACGATTAACCCCTCGTGATGCAGCTTGACGAACTTTACTTTCAAATACGAGCACAAAATTTTCATTTTCTAGGCAACAAGCAGTGAACAGCTGAGATATGGTTATGGCAACGGGTCGGATTGAGCCTGTAGGGAGAGGAACTTCATGGAACTAATAAGTTTAGGTCCTTAGTCCTTAACCCTTTGATGCACGAATTTTTTTGGGCAAACAATTTTTTTAATTTTACTTGTATAAAGGGTTTTTGTTCCGCCATATTGAATTTTGAAAATCTGATTCCAATTCCGTAATCAGTAACCCCAAAAACGTTATGTTCACATTCGAATTTTATCAGAATCGATTTTTTTCTGAAAAAGGAAAACAGCATTCTTTCAATGAACAAAAGGAAGTTTTTGGGGTCAACAGATTGTTAGATTCCCATCTGACAATCAGCAACCAGCGAGTAAAATTTTAGAGCTGAAAAGCGAAAGAGCAAAAGGGTTAATTATCATGGTAGCCATAATTAAGGTTATCACCAGGACTGATATTAGGGGAGAATTTTATAAACAAATAAGAGCCGTCTGACTGAAGAAGAGACGGAGGAAGCTCGACCCAATTCCCTGTAAGAGTATTCGCAGCCCGTAGGCTCGATTAGGTGCTAGCCGAACGGAAATAGTGTTCCCCGACGAAAATAAACGGGGATAGCCGACAGCTGGTCGGTTCGCTGTGCGAATGCATGTCTGGCTCTATGAATGAATGACTAGCCAGGTGATGATCCCGCTGACAGTGCAGTGCTTGCGTAACACTTGCATCCCTCCACTATATCAGCTGCCCTTCAACCACTACTCCCCTCCACCTAACCTACCCTCATCGGTACATCAATTGCGGGCATAAGCTGACGTTTACCACACGAATTTTCTTCTTTCAATAACAAACAACATAATTTTACACTAATAAACAATGTGTTCTGAGACAACCATAGGAGGGTCCTGAAAGTGGGTGTGATGATAGAAAGACCCAGGTTTCAGGTGTCGACAGTCATATTTTAGATGAATTATGTCTCTAGTTGGGTTATCCTCCTATCATTAGGGGTAGTCGAGTTACCCTTCCATACTCTCCTCCAAATTAATCTATCTCCTGTCGTCGTTATATCCCCTGGCAATCTTTCACTAAATTTTATAAATTAACAATTTTTCAGCCTGGTATCCGTGTTGGCAAGGGGACCACCTGTTACAAGTTACAACTCGTACGTTACAAGACCGGTGGAAAGTCGAGCAGCTGGTCAGTCATTCACGCTGTCCGGCCGCGGGACGTTAATTTACACGCCGGAGACGTATACGATCCAGCTTCCAACGTTATTTCGGTCGTTAAAGCGGACACCGTATATAACGCGTCGTTGACAACCGGCTGTTCCGCCGTTCGTTTGGATACTAACAGCCACTGATGCTTTTCATAAATATCAACATTAGGATAAAATCAATTGGCAATGAGATCTTATTTTCTTCATCGAATTTAGGTCGACAGTGAAATCTCTCTTGTTGGCCCTTTGTTCCCCTGCCCATAGTGTCCACCGATTTCGTCCTACGCCTATGTATATCTCACCCGACACCTAATTTATATTTACTTTTTTCTACCCATAAATTTGTTTAATATGTTGATTAAATTTTTTCCATAAAATGAGACCAAACATGAAATAATTTGGGTCACATTTATTTATTTTATGTACGAAAAAACATCCCCAGTGCGAATTTTTTTTTTTCATCCACATAGTTCAAATTATGTCATGTTTGG